CACTTGATGTTACAAGTACTGGAATGTCCGTTTCTGTCGCATTGGGGGGTACGAATAGGTACGTATTTTGACTTCAATTGGCCATTTGTAAACATGCTGAACAAAGCAGGAAGCATATTCCTCATGCGGATCTCTCCTCGAAAGTCCCGGTCACCAAAGCCCCTTTTATATATTCGAAGACCGAGGAGCTAGTTTGGAAGTGGGAACAGTCAAAGCTCTGTGGCCAGAGCATCAACATCACACTCTCGTCCACCATGATTCCACAAGGTCATCCACCAAACAAAGCTGATAGCCAAGGCAAATTCGTATCCATCGAGAATGGCTTCACTCATGTCTTCCCTCAAGCACAGCTCACGAACCTGGAACCACATGACTATCAGATTGGGATTCTGGAGACAACGCATTCAGCAAACCTGAAGATTATCCTTCTCGGTGCGAAGCAAGAGAAGCAAACAAAACGTTTCAGCGGAAGCCTCTTTGGCCTCCAGCATTCCCTGTTGCAGAGAGGCTCTCTTTCTTCCAATCGCTGGTCAACTGAATTCTGGGTATCCGACTCGGTCGTTGTTGATTCAAGATCCATTGAAGAGGCTAAATCGGTACCCAATGCTGTGCGTCCAGAGAGCCCTGATGAGGCAACCTATGTCTGTGTTGGCCTTCCAGTCACAGTCTTCGGGCCATTATTCAACACGCTGGTTTCGAAATGGAACGCGAGTGCGGCTTCCTTCGAGTACTCCAACGGATTCATCTGGATATATTCCACAGTGGACCCGACAAACTTTAAGATTGACGCGGGCGAATCCTCCAGTCCAGCCAAGCAATCAATTTCTTCTATGCTGAAGCAGATGAACGGTAAATCCTGGTTTGTTAGGGCAAAGCTCATGTTCAGACTCGAAAGGTCAAGCGGGGAGTACCGCTCCGCACGAATCGAATCGAATCGAACTTTTGCCTGATTCGATTCGATTCGAATTAATATTGAAAATAACGATTCGTACGAATTCGAATTCATGACCGGTTCGAATTCGATTCGGTGTTCGCGAACTTTTTTGTATTAAATCCTCATTGGGAAGGCGGTAAACCAAGTCGGGCAGTACCTGTAGTTGAACACCATCAGTTATAAGCAGCAATCGACACCAGACTTGTAGTCTAATAAACAACCCTTATTAAGTTAACAGGTACAGATATAACTAAGCTGAGGTTGGTCTTTGATATAAAATTTAAACGATTTGGCCTTGGATCGAATAAGCTGTAGGGCAGTATCAATATACATGGGTTTTCGCCAGCTACGTCCATGCACATAATATATATTCTTTACCCCTAAGTTTACTCAGTAAGAACACAACCTTATTTATAGTCGGCTTCGCTTCAAATTTAGATTATCTCATAGATCCCCTCGAGATACACGTAACACATCAATATAGAGCCAAAATATCAATAGTTGCATATTTTATTCAATGTAGAGTAAATGGATCGTCTAATCGGGTTAGCGGAGATTCCACAAGAACGCGTCTCCGCGCGTACGTGCTTTCAATCAGAACAACATTCGAATCGAGGTAAAAAGAGCTATCGAAAACCACCACTTCTGGGTGCTCCAGAGTAAGCAATCAAGCAAGACACAAGCTTGATATACTAATGTAACGTTAGATGACTTCTCCACTTGCTACAACATTCGATTGTCCTAATACTAGGAAGAATAAACGCGATTATGCGGCGCTTAATAAATACGGCCTCCTTGCAGAGGATGTATCACCCCCGCCCCCTCGAAAGAAGAGAGCGGTCCAGCCCGCCTCTAAGTCACCGACTCCTCCGATTTCAACGTCCCCTACCGCTCCCAGCGATGTTTCTAGAAGTTTATCGAACCTTGATACGGACATATGCCCATCCCAATCAATCTCTCAGATCGAATACGAGGTTGAGAGGGTTAAAATCAAGCAGAAAGATGAGAGTGGGTCGAAAGAGCGGAGCTGGGTATGGAAACACTACCGTACAACACCTGAATCTGGTACCTGGAGACTAGGAAATAAGGAGCGGCTCGAGCTTAAACACCAGTGTATTGTATCGCCATCTAGCTGTCGATTCTTTCGATTTGCATCTAAACTGCGATCTTCAACCACGGCGTTGAAACAGCACCTGCAGCGAACACACAAGCTCTTTCAGGACGGTCATCCAGAGTGCCAAGGACCATTAAGCTCATGGATTTCTAAGGAAAAGAAGCTCCCATTCGAAGAAGCTGCCCTGAATTGGATTGTATCGACCTACCAGCCGTTTACATGCGTCGAACAACCTTCATTTAAGGCCATGCTGAGGTCTGCAGGCTTTCAGGACTCCGTACTAAGTGCGGATACTGTTTCACGCCGATTATATCTTCGGCTTGATGCTCTTGACAATGAGCTTTTAATCTTGATGTCTTCAGCTTCGTCAATCGCGCTATCTCTTGATGGTTGGACAAGTCAGAACTCGTTGCCAATGCTGGCAATTAGTGCTCACTGGATGACCTCTACTTTTCAGCAATATCGAGCTTGTATTGAGTTTGTTGAAATCGAAGGCAACCACTCTGGAGAGAACCTTGCTGATATCGTCGCGACGGTTCTTGAGAGGTTTCATATATCTGATAAAGTTATGACGATTACAGCCGACAACGCATCTAATAATGACACCCTACACCGATGCCTTTACCGAAGGCTGTCTCAGCGGTATGATAAGTACCTGGCCGAGACCATCATCCGAGAAGGGAGGATGAAGTTTACCCAGAACTCCCAAATCCGCTGCTTTGCTCATACCTTGAATTTGGTTATGAAAACTATATTGAGGTCTCTACGCGCCAGCTCGCATAAGGAAGCCTGTGATCTTCTTGATGATGTTGCTAAGAGGAGCTGGAAGATGATCAATGCTCCTACTTCACCTATTGCAAAGCTTCGACTACTTGTCCTTTGGATTGCGCGATCTCCTCAGCGAATACAGAGGTGGGATAATCGACCTGGATGTACAAAAGCTATCAACTACGATGTTGATACTCGATGGAACTCTACCTTTGTTATGATTGAGAGAGCTGAAGAGTGCCGCCGGCAGCTCGAAGATACAGTCAACGATGAACCAGACATTGAAGCCTTACGTCTCACACCGAACGACTGGAGACAGCTCTCAGATATCAAGAAAATCCTGGCTCCCTTCAACGAATATACTGAGTACGTCTCCCGAGATAGCCCTTCAATTCATATGGCGGCGCGTATGTTTGAAGAGCTCCATTCTATACTCTTCGCTATCAAGGAACGACGAGGCGAGTGGCAGAAGGTCTCGCCAGCAATAACTATTCTTATTTCCGATGGAATCTCACTCCTGGAGCAGTACCACGACTGCGCCAAAGACAACGATATATACTATATCGCAAGCGTTCTGGACCCTCGAATCAAGACCAAGTGGCTCAAAACGCTGCCAGATGGAGAGAAGATTATTGGCCGAATCAGGGCGTTCCTGAAGAAAGCATATCCCACCCCAAAACAGCCTGTATCGACTACTCTAAGCACTAATTGGAAGAGCTTCGAATATCGATTTCTGGAAGCCTTTCAGCCTACACAGTATAACGTCGCTGAATCTGATATCGACCGGTATTTTGATACTCCTACAATCAGCACTGGTTTCGAAAGAAGCCAAAGCCAGACTGAATTTATACTGAACTGGTGGAAGGCCAACAGACTTGAATTTACTTGTATGGCTAAGGTAGCCCAAGATCATCTTGCTATACCAGCAGCAGAGGTAGATATCGAGAGATTATTCAATGGTGGGAGAGATGTACTGGGAATTCGACGTTTCTCTATGAAAGGCAAGACTCTTGGGACGCTAATAAGGCTGAAAGATGCTGTACGTTGGAAGTCTGAGTAGTTATATAGTTATGGTTTCTTTGGCACATGCGGTTGATATTCTGCATTCCAATGACATGTAAGAGAGAAGGTTTATAAGCCGTATTGTGGGAGTGGAATATTCAGTTCCTAATGTAATACGCGTGAATCTATCTAAAACGGGCAGTCGTGATTCCGTCCATGGATTGATTTGCTGAGGTCTTCCTGCAGAGACCGGACATCTCGAAAGTTCATCTCAGAACCTGGTTTTCCTAAGAAAGCTAGATAATAGTTCGCGAACCTGTTCGAAATTCGCGAATTTTGACGAATCGAATCGCCCATAGATTCGAAGCCCAAAAACCAAGGTTCGAATTCGATTCGATTCGACGAAATTCGCGAATTTCGAACAGTTCGAAAATTCGTGCGGAGCGGTAGCGGGGAGAAAGCGGGTATTCTTGCCGAGCTCCTGGAAGTTTCTCATATACATGTCACCTCTTCTCATAAGCCCATCACTCACTCTTAGGACCGGCTTGATGTTGGAAGGGTTTGGAGGTTGGCAAATCCGCTGCTGTCATCTATCCTTTGTCTTCTTTTGTTTCTTTTGAATCAGGTATACGTTGCCCAATGAGGGATTAAAGGAGCCTTTCAAATCTTTTGGCAAAGAGCTATTTTTGCTGATATCTGTGCGATCTACCAATCACGCTCACATTAGGGCCAGAGAATTGCTTTAATCGTCTTCAGCCAAACATTGACCGCAACACGTCTGGGTACAACAACCATTTGTGCCGGCGCGGCCGGATTCGGCGCCCGCCTCGATCGGGTTTGGCGTCCGCCCTCGGGTACCTCGTTCGGGTTGAGCCGCTCCCGATGCGGTTTGGCGTGGCGCTAGCCCCAAAATGGCATCGAGATCCATCCCATCTTCTTTAGGCTTAGCACGTCCAAAGATGGTCTAGCGGCCCACGCCTTCCCCGAACGGGGGTTCTGCCTCCCTCCACCGCCAGCTGGCCCCACCGACACAAGTATATAACTCGGTGCGTCGCTCGACGTCCTCACTCTCGTCTGCTACATTTCGCTCTCGCCCGGCCAGGCCCAGCGACCTCGCCGCCGTGAAATGATACCGTATTCCCGGATCACACGGCACTGGACCCCCTGTTTCAGCTGGTTGCCTCACGCACGGAGCGGTACCCCTTCTCCACAGGCTGGAGCACCGTCCAGACCGCCGGCAGCGCTGTCTACTGGTCCTACTGGTCCATCGCCCTGTGTATTTTTTTTCAGCTGCGGTTGCCGGTCCACAATCTTGGCTAGAGAGGATTTGCCCTCTGGACACGTGCGGGCTCCCACCGTCTCACCAGTATATCTCCGTCTATCCTCGTGGGCATCAACAGTGTCCAGTTGTTGGCTGGAGACTGGATTGACTCTCGTCATTGCCCAAATGCGCCTACGATACGACGTTACTCGACTATCGCTCTTTCGTGCGCTGTCCAATCTGCGTACCCGTGTGCCATTGGCTCGTCTTCTCTCGCCGATCCCTCGTCTTCTCTCGCCGATCCCTCGTCTTGACGCCGTGGCGCAGACTGACCAGGTGTCTCACATGTTCGCGAAGCCTTTTGCCTCGTACAGCTGCCTCGGAGAACTCCGCATCGGAACTTCAAACGCTGTGATGGTATTGGCCGCTCACTTGCATAACTCCTTCGGCTGCGCCCTGGTATTCTCCAAGGGCGGTCCTTTGATTCTGGACGTCTTTTAGCAAGGCGCAGCAAGTCTGATCGGTGACGGAGAGATCGGACCAAACCTGACGATGTGACACTATCGTCCAATTGGAAAAATGCCGCATGCTGTAGCGGCTTGCTATCTGACCCCTTGGTCATTCTTTCTCCAAAAGTTGATGTATCACCATCCATATCGACGGGCCGCACTTTGGCTCCGTGATAATGGTCTAATGGTAAGTCCCATCCAATTTCCCAAGCCGTTCCGGATGGAGAAGCCTAGGTCAAATGAAAGGAGGTCTCAGGGGCTGCATATAAAGAGTCTTGGGATTCCTCGTTCGGAGAAGGATGCTGGACATGTATCGCTAGCGTTTCTTCTATTCATCTCAGTATAAAGGACCCTCCTCCGCGCGCGAGCGAAAGTACCGGATTTTCAGAATATAGTGCACCCTCTCTGTTGTTTGCTCCAACCGCTTCTTTCTCTCCTGCCTCCTGTGCAAACCATGGTGCCGATCGATCTCGACAATATCATCCATTACCACCCTCCCCCCATCCCAAAGGCCCCTTGCAAACCATTACACCTGACCACCTCTCATGGTTCTTCCCATTTCCCCTCGAATCTGCCCATCCTAATCCATCCTCTGCCTCCCCGCCCCCCGTCCCTTTATCGTGACTCGCCGCGAACACCTCATCGTCACCGGCAGAGTCCTTCTCCTGTTGCGTCATGTTTGCCTCGCGATCGCGACGCCCACCCAAACAAGTTTGGTAAGGAATTGGAAAACTTGGAAATAGCCGAATTTGAGGGCCAGGAGACTTCAGGATCATGCTTTGGAGGCAGCGAGGAGAGTCAATCAAAGGATATCAACGACATTCAAAGAAAGGAATTGCATGAACAACACTATGGTAAGTGACCTGATCGTCTGCTGGCTCCTCTAGCTTTTCAGGTCCCCCTCGGGTGCCGCTATTCAAGTTCAAGACAAGTGAAATGTGCCAACTTTTTATTTTTAAAGTAGCGGACCGCGACCACGATCATTACAGGGAGGATTTAAGGCTTCTCTCAGAGGATCCTGCTACGCAGCAAGACACCGCCGCCTCATCAAATGCTGCCGAGACAGGCCTCTTATCAGCAGCCAGTGCACCCACTTGTCCTGTGCGAGCTGATGGTTCCGTTTCACCGAACGAACCATGTCCCGTTCAAGGTTAGTAGTGCGTCTGATGATAGGGTTTTCCTAGGCTGCTTCTCATCATACGACTACAGATCTTTCACCCACTGAACGCAATGAAACCCAGCTTTCCAGTTTTGGCTGTGAAACCGAGGTCAAACGCGTGACGGCCGGTAATGTTTCGAGAGATCAAACTCCATCGCCTAATCCCAGCACTTCTGTTCCAGCTGGAGATGAACCAGAGCCAGTGAATCAGCGGCTTTTTAGGGGGACTCCTGAAACTGGAGCAGACTCCAGAAAGTCAAGTCCTCTACCCGTCACGGAGGCACATTCCACCGAGCTGCACGCGAGGGACCTTTCAGCAACTCGCGACAGCCACCTGGACGTTCGGAGCGACGGCAGTGACATCCATTTAACAGATTGTTGTCCTGACGACGAAGCGTTGTCAAGGCATATCTCGCCCGTTCTGCACCAAAAAAGACAGGCAGTTTCCAGGTCAGAGGGAAAGGATTCACCAAGAGACTTATCTAAATCGTGCTCCGTATCGGTCGTTGTGCCTGTAACTCGGTCCCGTGGGCCACCAAAAACAAGGTCCACTAGAGCCGACTCCACATGCTGTACAGGGAAAAGGAAAAGTCGAGCAAACTCCCCCTGCAATGTTGACAGCGATGATCCTGACGACAGTGACTATACGGATGGGAACGATTCCGGTATCGGTGACATCGCCGTGTTGCCACGTCTAACGAAGCGGCCGAGACGAAGTGCTGTAACGAATATCCAACCCGCTCAGGCTCGACGCGAAAGGCCGTATCGCGTGCTTTCCTCCCCGGCTCCAGAAGTGGAAATTGCAAATCCGGGTCCCGGCACAAGTTTGCAGGACATACAAACCATTCCTATCAGAGGCTTCCTTACGCGGCAAATGTTTCTATCGAGAGTCATCTACTCGTGTACCTTCGAGGAAGATAGGCAACTTTCTTGTCCGCATGAGCCAACAAAAGCTCCTGCGTATGAAGAAAGCTTAGACAGGGCAGGGCACACCCCGCAGCCTAGTAACAAAAACCCTTCAGCGCATGCAACTCGTTTCCTGCCCGCTGAGGACGAACTCTTGATTGAACTGAAGGAAAAGCGAAGTCTTCCATGGGATCGAATCATGAAGCATTTTCCAGGGAGGACCAGGGGTGCTCTTCAGGTTCGCTATAGTACGAAGCTCAAGGACCGAGGAACTAGAAATGTCAGGCGGGGTCGGAGTGGAAAGGTTACATGTCCCGCAACTGCGGCTGTGGCTTCACGCGGCTAACTTTCTATGCCCCATCGCTGCAGAGGGTCGAGAGCGGTGGCTTCGAGGCAGTCTTCTGACCTTAGAGATGTTTTCATCGTTCCATACGACGAAGGTTGAGGAGTCCCAAAGATTTGCTGGTTCTATTTTGAGCAGGAGAGAGAAAGCATAATTTAAAAATCATTCCCAGAGTATAGCTTACAAGTACCGCGTCTTCTGCGTCTGATAAAAATCGAATTAGTGTATTAACCAATTCATGGATTCCAAGCAAGTCGTCAATCCAGCGATCAACAGCATCCAAATCCCAATAGCCTTCAGAAGGCCTCAGATGTGGGTGCTGTAATAGAGCATGGACGATCAATCATTTTGGTTGTTCCGCTCTGCGAATGAAGGTCCACATAGGGGGAAAGGTGGGGTTAAGTAGTCGTTGGTAACATCATATGGCCTTGTCTCAGGACCGAGGCTCAAGCGTGGCTGTTCAGAACCGCAAACTCATGACTGCATCCTCTAACTGCGAGCGCATGAAATATCCTGGCAACGCATCGAACTCAACCGCCGCGGCGCACTATTTTCCTATGTCTCCCTCCTCTAACCGCGAAGCATAAAAATACCCCAGCAACGCATCGAACTGAACCGCGACAGGCCACTCTTTTCCCAATCTGGCACAGAGTGGCGCACCTGGTCATTTGGTTCTCAAACCACCATGTACCTGGTCCCCTAGCACGGTAACCGCAAGAAAACTGACAGTCCCAAGGGAAGGAGGCTAAAAATGTGTCGCGGCGGTGAAGACCGGTACTGTAAACGTGCCATTCCTTTCTCCACCTTGTGGCGAAGACGATCCATCGCTTTACTTCTATGGTGTATACATGACAGTACGAGCAAAACATCTGTAAGGGAATATACATAAAAGTCAATTTGCATCTCTCCCAGAGCCGTGAACATCCATCCATGTACTTTGTGAAACCCATCCAGTTGCTTCGGGGCTGCGGGCTCGTGCCCCACCGCAATGCAGCTACTGAAAGGTGCTAAACCAAATAAAGTTCGGGGAAGAGACTATGTGATAACAGCGATGAAACAAATTTCTATCCATTTGTACGACTTCGCCCCATGTCTCACTCCCTCCTGGATTGGTACGATATTTTGGAGGGCAAATGCACCTCCAATCCTCTACATTAACTTAAGACTAAACGCCCGCTAGATATAACCAAAGCCGAAGAAAGCAACGTGGGTGTTAATCGTCGGTTCCCCTTCTCCAGTAATTCAAGAGGGACAATTGTGGAAGGGGAACCAACGACTAATCTACTCAACGAGCCATTTGCACCAGATAGCGAGCCCCACCAATCAGTGAGCTCCTAAAATTCCAACGTGTCCTGCTGATGGGTGGGGCTCGCTTTATCTACCTATATCATATAACTAGTTATGGCGCGGGTAGTAGGCAGACCTTCTACGCGAAGCCAGCTGCCACTATTAGTTTATAAAAGCCCACTCTTTCCTCTTTTTTAACTAGCGGAATACAGCACACCAACGTTCAAACTTCTTATTCTTTCCTCACGTCAAGATCTTGGTACATAGTCAGTGGTACCTTTCGAATCGAATTTCCTTACAATCTTTATTCACCAATCCGAAAAAATCACGATTCAAAAGATATGGTGAACTGGTCTTGGCTTCTCCTTGTCTCTCCTATTTTATTCCAAATCACAACTGCTAGAAAGTGTGTTGGTGGAGAAATCAATTGTGACTACAGTGATGGTCACAAGTGTGCCGTGGGGTGCTCAAGATGGTTTGGTGGCTGCGGCTGTTCAGACACGAGGGTCACCATAAGCTCTTCAGGCAAGCCTAAGACCGCAACACTTGTACATAGCTCCTGCGCCTTCTTGACCAATAGGGACCATTGCTAAGAATGTAAGTATTAACTTTTTTCCTACCGGTGGTATCACGACTAAGAAAGGGTATTTAGGACGAGGCAGGATGGTGTCGAGAAATGGAGCAGTAACTTGCCGCTTGGACAGGGGTTATACTGAGTGACCCACTCTTATTGTGTTTCTGTATAGTAATTTGGTTTCCTCAGCATTACGGTCGTCGTAACACTGTGTACCCGAGCCATCCATGGGGTATTTCAACCCCCCGTGATATTCATTCTTTCTTCAGTCAATCAACTTTTGCATTCAAGATTGGTTCCGCTTGAGCTCTTCCTCTCCCTCATTCGCCTATCCGGATTACTAGACCATACTGTCCTGGCTTGCTCAGACAGGTCCTTCTTCTGATCACCCTAAGTGGTCGAGGCACACCCACCGTGGCTGGCGGGGGCTGCGGGTCTGCGACACCGTTTTTGTTCTGCGATATCCTTCTGGTTCTATCTCCGATATACCCGTGGGTTTTTAGGATCTCTTTCAGTTCCCTCTCACCTTTTCACTCTTGAGGATGGAGATCCTCATTTCATCTTTCTCACCCCAGGGTGAGAAGACCTTCGCTTTTCGATCACCCTGATACGTTTCTGGGTGCGTATATGGTGAGAAGTGTCTGTGCGGCAGGTGTATCATCTGTCCATCCTTCTCTCTGGACCATGGCAATGTTTTCGTCCTAGCGGTTGTATTGCTTTCCAGTGACCCTCAATTATAGCATCCGCCACGCTGGTGTCCACCGTCTTTCACAGGATCGTGAATCTCTTCTCCACATGACCCGCGTCGTCATTGAATCCTCTCTCTGTATGGGTGGACTTTCGAGCGTGCAGAAGCTTCGCCGTCTATTGAAGTTCCTGGAAGATAGATAGACTCCCAAAATCAGAGTGCCGTCGAACGCAGTCAAGACGGAACTTCAAGCGCCAATTTTATTTGCCAAGACTGCGCCTCGAAGGTCTGAAAGACCGATTTCTGATTTCTGTTGCTGCCGAAACACACCGAGAACGTTCTTCACCGGATTGAAGCATTGTACAACTTGGAAGAAGAATGATTGATGCAAGCTGAATTCAGATGGCATCTACTCAATCGTTTCAATCTCTTGATGTCGAAATACGACGTTTTATTGACGTGTATCTTGGGATAAACAGATGTGAAATGATTCGTCAAGTGGTCGAAAATACTGCGCTTGAATGCGGACCGACGATTGGAATCTCATCGTCGGTCCAAGGGACAGTGGATCAAGGAGGTTTGGATTTGTAGCCCAGAGGAGAAATCAGAATGATTTGTTAGGGTCCAGCACAGCCAGCACCGCTTCCGTGCCGGCCTAAAAGAACACGGTCGTCATCCTGGAGGTGGGACTATGTGCATCGTGTCTGTGCTGCTAGGAAGCTGAGATACTGGCGAACAGAGCATGCACTTTAGCAGCATTCATCGGCTGGATCGCTACATAGCGATGTCCAAGGAACAGTGGCCAATTATCTTGATAAATAAGTCCTGGTGCATGTTCCTACATCAAAGGCTGTGATCAGCAATGAAGCCTCGGCATGGTAAATATAAGCGTGGTAGTATATCTTTCCATGTATTCGGTAGAGGAAGTAGCAATCGCCCTTCTTTGGAATGACAATAATATAGACGATGTCCCAAAGTCAAAGGACTCGAGCACGATGGTGGTGCCCTTGGAACAGGCCCGCCTACACATTTTCATCCTTGTCATGCAGAACCAGGAGGATTTCATCGGAGTGTTATGTGGCCCGGTAAGTACTGCGGACAGCGTATAAGGATTCACGATACTATGAGTGTTCCCGTAGGGAAACAGGACATGGTAGCAAGGGGGGCCTGGGAAAATGGAAATACGGCATTCTTGTCGGCTCAAGGTAATACGTCTGCTTGGATTTGATAGGATCGATGGTCGAAAGCAGGGTAATCTTTGGGATGAAGCGTACGATTTGTTTTGACCTACACCCAAGTCAGGAGGAAATTAGTTTGACAGAGACCGTGGAATCAAGAGGGCAACTGACGATCATTAGCGGAACCGCAAATCATTCGACTGCTTAGTTTGGACGACCCATGGAATCGCCTGCTCGGTGAGAGAATGCGGTCGTCATGAAGGATTCAGGCCCGGGCTTCTGCCCCACGCTGAGGCAGATACAACGCAAGTCAGCTATAAATACTTGGAATTAGCCGCGAAATCGAACAAGAAATTTTCCAAGGAGTTTGGCAGGCAGGGTCCTGTTGACGGGATGTATATCTAACGACATGCATGGCAAACGTGAGCGGATAATTCTGCTGTCAGGGTTTTCAGCAACCCGGGGCCTTTACCGCGATATTTTCGGTTTATACACGACAGTCTTAGGTATCAGAATTGAATGACAGTCTGCAATGCTCTTATAATGGTCATACAGTAGTTTTCGAAATCAGTTATACCTCCACTCTTACGACTTGATTGCCGGAAACTAATTCCGACACTTACGAGTCCTGATTGGATATTATGTTCGACATAGGCTTTTCAGACCGCTTTCCAAATTAGTTTCTGTAACTTACAGTACCATTGTGAGACATCAGGCTTTGGTCTCTTAATGCGATGACTCATCGAATGTAACGAAGCAAATACCGTCACAGTTGTGCCATCATTACAGAGCGGTGCTCCAAAAGGGGCTTAGCGTCAACCGGGTATATTTTCCGGCAATCAAGTCGAGAGAGTGCAGAGGTATAACTGATTTCGAAAACAACTGTATCATTCCGAAAAGTTCTCAAGTTCCAGGGTCCGGCTCACATAATAAGTCGGGTGGTGTCGATGCACATGAATAAGGAGCGCACTTCGCCTCGGAATATATAGGTGACCATGGGAATTTGAGTCACAAAATCGCTAATTTAACAGGTAGAAAATAGATTTCCTTATCACGAAACCCGAAGTCGTTTTGCATCTCCTGCCTCCACTCGACATAGTCGTCGTTTTGCGGCCCCCGGTCGCTGCTTAGCCGGTCGGCATCTCAGAGTAGAACGGTGGAAGTCGATGATTAAAGCACGCCCGAGCTCTTCACTCCAAAGGACATTGTCTCGCCTGAGGTCTTCATGTAGTATCCCGAGAGCTTTTATTTCCTTGTTCGATTTGTGAATCTCGCGGCGAAGCCGTTGCGTCAGCTCCATCGTGGCCGTGCACTTACCGCCCCAGCCCATTATGAGCATATGGCGGATCTGTCCAGCACCATGTAGAAAGTAGATTTTTGCTAAGTCAATCGTTCCTAAAAAGACCGGAACAGCGGATCCTTGAGCCTTGCGCAGGATCTGATATACCTGCGCTTCGCGTGAAACTTCTTTCCACAACCCCGAAGTGGTGCCTTTACCGATAACCGTGTAACCATATTTCGTGCAAGTCAATTTGAACGGGGCTCCGAAGGAGCCACAACCGCCAAGAGGAATGCAACGATCGATATTTTCGTCCAATTGGCCCTTGAGTGAAAGCATCAAATCTTCAGCCGAGATGGGATGCTGAGTCGGGTCGTCTTGGCCCCGGCGGTGATAGTCCACGCTTGGACACTGCTCATCCAGGGATTTCCTAGTCTGCAGGCCGAGTAAACATCGCTGTGTGCAAAATTGTGCAGCGTGGCGTCGGGAATGATCTTCGTAATCATGCACTGACTCTTGCTGGCGACCTGATCGTCGAGCGGACGGTGAAGGCGTGACTTGACTGATCCTCCGCTTATGGCTAGATGTTTGATTTGTGTTGGACCCGGACGAGTTAGGTGACTGCGAGCGCGGTCGGATCTCCGAAGGTGCACAGCTTGTTTGAGAGCGTGTAGGCACTCGACGGCCCTCTGAGGGAGACGGTAGCGGAGATGACGACGGTAATTCATAGGACGAACCAGACCCTGGGCTCGGGAACTCAGGGTTAGTGCTATCGGAGTGAGGAATCTGCTGTAATTCATTTCTCGGGATCTGCGAACGAGTATGTTCAAAGCTTGTTTCCCACGTATGAAGACCGGGACGCAAGCGATTTCTCCACTCTTGCCCACGTGTGGGTGAACGGAAGGCCATCAAACAAAGGCATAATACCCTCGCAACAGAGGTCTTCGACAGCTGATGAGTTGTATCGTCTGTTGGGTCCACTTCGTTGTGGGGATCACAAAAAAAGTAATACAGCGTGGTGGGTTCGTCTCGTGGAACACGAAGTAGTACACGAATAATTCCATTTGTCAGGTAGGAATATTCGAGTCCTTCCTGAATCATCACGTGGTATTCTTGGACGATAGCAGAGCAGACAAGCCGCTCTGCATTGTACCTCAGCTTCGCATCCTGTTCGGTGGGTATTTTATTTGATCTGACCATTTTCTTCCACAGATCCATTGGTCGTAGTCCCATACGAAGAGTTGCGACAGGCAGCTTGTGAGGCGGCTTGTACTCCACGGTCGTCAGCACGGTGGTCGTGTTGCCGTCGACACGATGAATGCAGAACTGGTCTGGTCGTGGGTGTGGTGTGCTTGACAGCTGGCTTGTATCCGCTTCAAAGGTTTCGTTCCTGCTCAAAGAATTTGCGTGATTGCTGAACTGGATTCCATCACCGAGGCCGAACTCGTCACATGCCGCAGGAAATTTGCACAACTCGGCTATTATATCATGGACGTGTTCTTCCACCCCAAACCGCTCATAGGCCTCGAGATCTTGCTCACTACTGAGGGGCTTGCGGGCAAATCGACGGCCAAGTCCTTCTAGCTCCGGTAGAGACGAGAATAAGCGTGGCGCCTGCCCTAGCTCCGACTGTAGATATTGGCAGACAGACCTGTAGACCCTTAGCAGCTGCTCTGGGCAGTCGGCCCAATGTTCCAATCGAGTTGGGCAGTCTTTTCCAGTGGGAAGGGGTATTTTGCCAGTGGTGGAGCGAGATGGTGTCTCGACTCGCAACTGGCGGGAGAGAAGGTCATGACAGTGTTGCAAGAGCTCTGTGAAAGAGGTCTGTTGGTTGCGTTCTTCTGCTTGTCGCCTCCTTTCTGCTTCCTGCCGCCTCCCTTCTGCTTCCTGCCGCCTCCCTTCTGCTTCCTGCTTCTCGCGTTCTCCCGCCTGCTTCTCGCGTTCTTCCGCCTGCTTCCGTCCTTCTTCTGCCTTGAGGTAAAGATCTTTGTAGTTTGGAGAGCTGTGGTCGGCCATCGATTTGTTGAAAAGGGTAAGTCATGCCTTGACGCAAGTGCGTCAGAGCCCGGCTGACGATCTGGTCAAATCAGCTTTCTGCCAGCAGATCTCGGGTTTCGGAAAATGCTTTCTTCCGGAAAATGACTCAGGTCTCACGTTTCAGGTATACATACTAGCCCAAAGCGGTTAGCGCTTTACTCTAATCAGAGCCCACTGGGTGTCCTAGAGAGGCTCATGTCCGAGCTTCTCTCTAGCCACATCGAATGTAGAATTTATATAAGACAAAGGAAAGAGTGCAGGCGTTTAACCCCTTGCCCGCACCAAAATGAGCGTTCCTGGCCCTCACCGCCTTCACTGGGACCCTGCTCCGCCTCTCCTAGCTCCTCTCCTGACCCCAACTCCCCTTGTCGCCTTTACCCTCCTCAGCTGCCGGTCGCCGCTTGCGCGCTCATTTGTATCAAGGGAGTACAGTGGACCTGGCACTTGAAATTCACGGTTCTACCCTGGTCTTAGACTTTGCCAAGCATACGATCAAACACCACCAGTATCCGGGTGTGAGCTCTATACAGCCAGAGCTTTTAAAATTTGCATAGACTTTATATATCGGCTTGCTGATAACAGGAACAATGGTTTTTTGACCGACATAGCCAAGTGTACGCGACTCAATCAACTGCCTAATTGCAGCTGGGGGAGAATCACATTGGTCCGCAATCTTTTTCCAGAGCGGAATCTTTTATTTAATTAATTGGGTGAAATGGGTGCGTTTGGGGCTGAAATCCTGGTGCTCTCTTACGTCGGGCGCGAGGACGAGACTGCTCCAGCCAATAGCATTTTTTTTTTGCCGCCAGCTCATGGGGCTGAGATTTCCAGCTGGTGACCAGACTACTTTCAAGATTTCTATTCCTTCTCCCAAGATTGCTCTTCCTTCTTGTTGTTCATTATAACGCGTGTTGTCTCCGCGACTTAAGCATCTGCTGCACAGTAAACGGCCAGATTTTCGAACACCCAAGTTCTCAATCGCCTTGGATCTTTTTCTTCTCTAGTGTTCTACACGAGACATCATGTCGTACCCTAAGGAATACACCATCGGTTGGATCTGCGCGGTTAGTACGGAGTTCACTGCGGCGCAAGCTTTTCTTGATGAGAAGCACCAAGCACCAGATCCTCTATCGCCTGCTGACAATAACGACTACGCTTGTGGCAGGGTTTGGAAGCATAAGGTCGTCATTGCCGTCTTACCCGATGGAGAATACGGTGCATCTTCGGCAGCAAATGTCGCGAGAGGCATGTTGCATAGCTTTCCTAATATTAGGATCGGCCTGATGGTAGGCATCGCCGGCGGTGTACCAAGTTCAAAACACGACATTCGTCTAGGAGACGTAGTGGTCAGCACTCCTCGCGCTGGGAACAGTGGCATTTTCCAGTACGACTTTGGCAAAACCATACAGGGTCAACCCTTTCAAGCCACAGGAGTCCTGAACCAGCCACCAACTCCCCTCCGGGCGGCTCTTAGTGGACTCAAGAGCCAGTATGAGAGCGAAAGTCATTAGCCGGAAGAGGCTTCTCAGGCAAAAAATCTGGATTTGGACATCCAGAACCGAAAAGGCTCTACGGCGCTCCATCTCGCCGTTCAAAACAAACGCTTGGAAATGGTCAATTTGCTCCTAAGTCACCCCCGTGCCAACGTGAACTGCAAAGACAAAGATGGCAATACGCCACTTTGGCTGTCTACTTACTCGTCATGCGACGAGATAACCGAAAGGCTGTTGGCCGAGAAACACCAATTTTGTTGGAGGCCGCCGGAGATTCGAGACGCTGTCTGCATCCCTCCACACGCCGCGACCAGGTTGGATACCGTGCTCCTACGACGGCTGCTTGCGGTGCCAGGGCTCAGTCTGAATCTCTGTGTTGGAGGCCACTCTCCAATTTCCGTTGCCACATGTCACGGACGTGTGAACACGGTTGATTGTCTACTGAGTATGGAGGGCGTGGAGATTAATGAAATGGATTTAATAGATCCGCCTATTTGTCGAGCGGTTGCACATGGCCATCTCGATGTGGTACGACTTCTAAGGCAACGAGTCGCACGTCTGAACATCAATGAAAGCACGATCGCAACTCACGACATTGCTCTCTGAATGGCTGCCCGTGGCGGTGACTTGGAGATGGTCCAGGCACTACTTAGCCATGATCGGATTGATGTGAACCTCAAAAATCAATGTTCTGAGGATCCATCATGTTGGCGGTCAAGGGCGGGCATTCCTCGATTGTTGATGCACTTGTGGTCAATCCCAGACTGAAAAACTTCAGACTGAAGAGCTCTCTGGATCTAACAAGAAACGATTGCATCCAGAGTGCCATTCGAAGCAGAATGGAAGACGACAACGTTCCACAAAGATTGTTGAAGCGGTCTCCGAGGAGAAGGCTTGATGGTCTGTCAGACCTGGCGATGTCTACCTCAAGTAGCTCTCGTGGTACAATGGGAGATAGCTGAGCCGATCGACCCTTTCTGCGCTAGCTGCACTGTCTACATTGTCACTGGATCCATATGTTCGTCTATGAAATATTGGATTAATGAAAATGTTAGTAGAACATGCGGGGTTGTTCGCAGACACATTCCACAAGGCTACAATATGAATTCTCGAAAAGATATAAGATGCTTTCCATGCGGTAATTCTCTTCATTACGACATCGTTGGATACATCGTTGGGTACTTTCCACATTGTAAAAGTAAGACATAGGACAATCAAGAATATACAATCCTTCAACCTTCTCTTGCCATGTCTGGCAGCCCTGCCAGATTGAGTCTGGACGGGTGGTCCCAGTCATCAAGTACGCAAGTCAGTCGGCCCCGAGATGATTCCAGTGCCTGCTCAAAGAAGCGCAGCCGAGACAGCTGCTTGTCGTGGCGAAGCTGAAGTCCGTCCCTCTCTTTAGTCAGGTGTGTGCTAGCCTCCTCCAAGATACGATTGCTTTGCTCTAGCTTCTGGCCATCGATGTGTTTGGACACGCACGAATCCCATGGGCGTCGATAGAGCCCGACAAGTCGAGCCGCGGGAAAGGCGAATTTGGGATCGTCGCGTTGGAGGTCTGCTAGCACTTTTAAAATAGGTCGAAAAGGCTCGATCGCCCACGTATGTCTTATTTCTGCTTCCTGATGCGAGGGGAGAGCTGTAATGGCCAGCAAGAGCATTCGAAGCTGAGTCGTTCCACTTACCGTTGGTGCATGATCGGAAGTTTCCTGCGAATTGTCTTTTTCACAAACGATGGGCAATGCACTAGGCTGTTGTTCTCCTTCTGCTTCCTGGTCTGACGTGCTGTTAGGGGCATCTATCTTGATCGTAGGGAAGAGTCGAGTGTCTGGGCAATAGCATGTCCATCAATTCTTAGAGGATTCTATAGACTAGCAGACGTAAGTGGTTACTCATTCTCACTTTCACCATGAAAGTCAATCAGCGTAGCACCTTTTTGTTGGGATATTGGCTAACCAAGCCTGAGGCCTCAACATCTCTGAATTCATGCGCAATGGCCATGTAGTGCTCATTGGATGCTCTATACCATGGAACTCTTGCAGTTACATCGCACTCTCGCTTATTGTATTTTACTACTAGAAATACCTGTAAAAGTACCTCTTCAGAGAGTGAGAATTAAAACACCTCACGTTCATTGACATACACTTCTTGTCAAGAGAACCCTCATAGTCAGACATTTCAAAATTGTTGAGGATATGTATTTCAACCCGACACTTCTTTCCGTTTCGTTGAACACCTCAGAAATCCGACAAATGGAATATTGTAGAACTTATAGTCACCAAAAAAAGAAATTGAAAAAGATAACAAAACGGGAAAAAAAAAACAAAAAACCAAAAATAGGCGTGTCTTCATGGTCGCAAGTTCGGAAATTGAGTGTTGACAACGCGTGGCCAAGCTTCAACGGGTTGACGGGTCGAACACGACCTCGTTTTCTGCAGTCCAGACGGACAGACTCATAGCTCTACACAACCAACACCACACTAAAGCGAGGTTAAGAAAAAGAAATGCATACTTCTCGGGACGAAATTGTAGGCGCTTTTCGGTGATTCAACGTTGAGTCACTCACAGGTGAGGTATTAGAACAAGAAATATGAGCCTGCCATTGCGGATTGAATAGTACTCAGTGCCTGAATTTTAGAGAGCCGTGAAAGATTCAACAGTCAGCCAACGTTTCTTGACCAACTCAGCATCCTTTTTCTCAACACTTTTACTCGTCTCTCTCGCTGAGCATCTTAAGGAATCAAGGATGTCGCTGCAAATATTGCGGCAAAAAGAAGACATGAGTTTCAATGGACCTCAATTAGGATAGGTACCAAGCTTGTAAGTCACAGAAGCCGATAAGCCTATAAATACGTCCTCTACCCCGGCAATTTGCTCTACAATTTATTCTCCTGACTCTGCAAATTCGAGAGGGCTTGTGTCTGAGCCACTGGAGAAGTTCTTCCCCATTGATCCCATACTGAAATTGCCACTGTACTGACATTCATTGAATACATCGTGGATTAGCAAGCCAGACAGTGCTTGTGAGAGATACAGGTATGATTCCCACCAGATGCACTGCTATCCACACTAGCCGATTAAAGATGTTTATGCGAAGATGCCTCCGCCACAGAAGCCGACTGAGCTGATCTACTGTACAGCCTCTGTGTGTATTCCCAAGAGAGCGTGAATACCCGCGTCGCAGTTATGTGAATCTTAGCCTGACCTGTCTGGATTCTACTGATCCTGAAGTCGATGCGATTTAAATATAACCGAGGAAATTCGACAACAAGGCACGAGGGCAAGGGCCACAGCTTTTTGCCGTCTCTTCGTCCCTACTTTTGGCCACCAGAACATGTGAGTCATGCACTATCTCGCCGATCTGAAAGCTAATGAATGACAGTGAACCAAGGACATCGCATTAGAGTGCCCCCGAGGCTACCGCACTCCTGTTAGTGCTCTGCACAAGCTATGGCCTACACATCTTTCCTGGTCCCGTCGCTTAAGACTAGCCAGCATACCTTAGGTGGAGCAATACCAATAACAGGTATGGACATTCGATTGCGAGCTTGACTGCAAGGAAGTCCATTCATCCTGGTAGTGTGAGTGATTTGTCGCGCCTTCTGCTGTGCTATATCAGTTGTTCGCGCAAATTTTTGTGCTCCAAAACACGAACACTGCCGATTTTCATGCTATTGGAATTAGGAGCAGCCCATCCCCAATGTGAAACATCGCTGTTGGGAGTTCTATCGCCGCATCGGAGATAAGACCAAGGCGTCACTACGACGCGTGATCCATCGCGTCTTCCGCCTCAACCTCACCGCCCTCACGCCGTGAACGGCGGGGTGTATGAACCTCTCGCCGTACCCATCGCGAGGTCATGTCCCATTACGACTGTACAATTTCTTGTCACAGGTGGGTTCGTCACGTGCGCTTGGGGCTCAGAATTGCCCGGTGAACCCAGCGCGGCTTATCCGAAGCGACAGCCGGAGAGTGCGACGAACTGGATACAACATCATGTCAATTGGCATGAATGGTGACTGCATTGATGAAGACAATTGTAAGTGATCTCGTCGGTAAGATATGGCCACGAAGCTAATTGATCGTCTTGTCTCAAGCGAACATCTATGAACAGGTGAGTCATAACAACTCGTCCAAGTGGTAAGCCTTGCTGACTCGGACGTACAACAGGAGGTCCCTCATATTCCCGTCACTCGAGTAGAATGCGAGGCGAGCAAATGTCTTGTCTGCTTGAGCTCCCCTATACCGATGCGATCGCATGCTGTCTATCATTTCCACATAACTACTGGTGGCATCGATGATGAGCCAAAGTAATGTTCAGATCGTCTCGGCCATTCTCTCAGTCGACTCTGTGCATCAGTCATGTGCTGATCTGTCTACCTGGTACAGAGTCCAAGCCACGATGGGCTTGCACCACCGTGCGTCTCGGTATCCGAAAGAACAGTTTCTTGTGGATTAGAATCATGGCGTCCATTGGGTGATCCTCATTGTCCTCGGTTGACTTCTCGTATCTTTCGATGCCTGGAAATCCGAAACACCCGGGGAGCGCTGGTTGATTTTTCGGGCTTGATGGCAGGTGAGCCATACATTCGCAGACGGCCAGATTGTTAGTCCAAGTCTGTGTGCAAGGAGAAGTGAGGCAAAGGCCCCGTCATATCGAGCCCTCAGATTAACATTACCATATCAGCTACGAATCGAGAAAAGGAGACCATCTAGTCCCGAGTCACAGCCGAGCCGACTCAAGAGCCACGAGCTAAAGAATCACCGACCGACACTGTTTTACCTGATCGTACTCCGCCTTGCTGAGCCGTTAGACGTATTCAAGCGGGTGGAACCTAACAAACGGAAACGAACGAGCGAAAAGGTATAAACTGGACTTACACGACGCTGCATCAAGGGCACTGTCAGAAATGCTGACCACTTGTGTTCTTTTCCATTGAGGTCGTTTTCTAACAGGTCGCGCGCAAGCAGCTCTTGCTAGGAATGGCCACATTCTCTACGTACCCTACGTCGACTAT